GAATTTATATGCGTGATTTGTGGAAAATTGGTTTGTGGAAAAAGTAGGTTTTCCCATACTAATTTCCATATAAATTTCAAACGCAATGCAGAAAGCCGGGTTACAACCAATCGTCCCCAAATTAAACCAAACACCCCAAATTAAACCAAAAAAAAAAAACATTGTTCTGAAAAAATGATCATGATGATCCATCCTAATATTTAGTTAATTTTCGAACATCTGACCTTTGGCGAACAGTATTTCATATTTTAAATACAATGAGCTTAGCTTAGACTAACGTCACATATTGCTACTCCGGTTGTTGGTTGCTATTCCGTCATTGATCATGATCAGTGAATTTGCAATGGGGCTGGGAGTGGCCATCCATTCCATGTACAGGTGGATGTGGGGAAGCAATTTTAGAGTGAGATTTATTGTTTTGGGGACCGTATTTATCTCTGCGTCACCTTTGTGGTCTTCTGTGGTCACAGGAGAGTAGATTTCGTTAGTAGGTTGAGTTCGTTGGATCATGGTCCACCTATCAATTCAGTAATGTAAAGGAACCTGGGATAAAAACCACGATCTTCTGATCGGTAAGCAAAAACGGTTGGACCAGTTAACCGAATCTATTTCATCACATTACATTAACAACGACGATTGTTCATGCCCGACAACATGAAACTATTCAAATTGGATGATGTCCCACATCAAGCATGCTACATATTATACAACCATGATCTGCGAAAATTAAAGAAAGTGTGATTACTCGAGCAAATTTTTGTGGAACATTTTCTACGATTTTGAGGTTGATGATGCGGTCTTCATCAACGTTGTTCAGATTGATAAAGCCTATTGGATGGTGAACAGCTCAGTTCAGAATTCAACCTCCAGGTGGCACTAATGAGCCACCTGTTTAAAAATTAATTCCTTAACTTGACATCTTGACTAGATAGAAGGTCTTCGGCAAAGTTGTATGTGAATAAGATTTATTAGATGGTGTACATCACTCTCAAAAGTGTGACTTGTGTGTTATTTAATTTTTAATTCCTTGGTTTAATTTGCGACCTCCAATACATAGAAGGTAACGGTCTTGGAAAAAAATGTTCAGATTAATCAGACCTATTGGATATTCAGTTCATAATTCACTCACCAAGTGACAATAGTGTGTAATTTGACATCTTATTGTTTGCTTTAACTAGACAGTACGCACCACTAGTGCCATTTGATTCTGACTTCATTAAAGTTGTTCAGATGAACAAGATCTGTGAACATAGTCGATAGGTGAAAGACCTGAGTGTGATATTGGATTCATAACTACACACTTAGTAATAATCAATTTTAAACGCGACGAAATTTCATGTTGGTTATAATTATGACACGTATACAGACATGTCATGCAAAAGTAAGTACTTCGCGACTGAAAAAAGCGTTATTCGATGAAAATTACGTTTGAATGAGCAGAATTTTACGTCAGTTATGACTCAAGTTTATGTCAACATTGACGCTCGTATATGTCTCAAAGCACCTAAATTTACATGATTTTTTCTAAGTGTGCATCATTCAGACAACTCATTTTGTATGTCGTTGATAAGGCGTCTACACGATTCGAAAAAGTAGTGTAAATTTCTGTTCAATATGATGCACATAAAAGGAGCGTCACATATCATATAAGTTTACATTATAAACCGTGTAAAATTATGAGACTTTTCATGAAATGTTGCAAATTTTGTATACAAAAGCCTTTGTAAACAACATTTCTTACAAGTTGCTCGTTTGCGTGAAATGAAACACAAGTGTACGAGACTGAATATTTACATCACAATTAAAATTCTGAATTTTTTTGCTGTGTGGGACTTCAGGATAGCTGAAATATTGACCAATGTCTACTGTTTTGAAGGCACAAATACATATTTTCAAATAAACTGACGCGATTGGTCAACGCAACGATTGATCGAGTGATCCGTTTCGGAGACACTCTCGATTTCTTTCAAATCTCAAACAGGGTTACAGCAAGGGGGTGGACTTTTTTGTCTGCTGTTTAATGTTACCTTCGAAGCTGTGATCCGAACAGCGGGGATATACACGAGTGGTACGATTTTCAGGAAGTTCATCCAGCTTTTTGGCTTCGCGGATGAAATTGGCATAATTTAACGTAACTTTGAGACGATGGCGGAAACATTCATCAGACTGAAGGTTGAAGCCAATCGGATTAGACTCGCCATTAAAGCATTGAGTACATAAGAGGAAGATATACAAGAGAAGGTAATATTAGTGTCCCACTGTGAATTCGGATTGACGGTGATGAAATCGGATAAAGTTCACCGCAACACGAAATTGACTATCTATAAAACACTGATTAGAGCGGTAGCCCTCTACGGTCACGAGACATGGACTTTGCTCGCGTAGACTGCCTTGGAGAGTTCTGCTTCGGTTACCCAGCTACGAGAGCTGTTGCCAACTGATTAATCTGGAATCTCTTTGGATAAGAAGGAACACTATCAGAGCTTTGACCGTCGGTGATTTTCTTCGGGGAAGAATAGATTGTGAGGCCTGGGATCCTGGGACAAATTGATCTGAATGATCAACCCGGAACTGCAAAGGTTGCATCTGCGTCACACGAACTTAGGGCCATACGGTGCGATTTGTGGGCAACAGCGAGTGTTCAACAGAGTCGCATCTGTCTTTGACTTCAATACGCGATGTTCTCCGTTGGAAATGTTCATCCTTTTTTGCCGGTAGGAGTGATTGACTGATTCATATTTTAATTTTTGACCATGCTGCTTTGTTTTGCATTTACTTGACATGTGACTAACTTCTTGATTATTATACTTATTATTATTATCATCATCATTGGAGCTCCAAAAATTCGTTCAATAAGTGCAGAGCAAAATCTGCCTGAAATGTCCGGTTGTGATTTATTAATTTCTTCCAGCAAGAATTTTAGAGAGATATAGGATTTTTAAAAAGTAGCATAAGCTTGCTGCATTGGTTATTTCAATTTCTGGCATAAATGTTCAAATAGCATAGGCTTTGCACAATATCTTCAAATAGAAAAACAAATGTTTAAGAACACTAGTTATTGACGGAATCCATTTTCCATACAATTTGTTTTACTAACTTCGACATGTCTGCTGCTGAGAATCAAGCATATCATTCCATTTTTAGATCTGTATAACTTATAAATGGCGAGATCAGTGCCAGTGAAAACGCGAAGTTGATGGATTCCATGAACTTTCACCTTAAACTGCTAGCTTATCCACGCAAACACCCCAACATCATCGAGAAGAGCAAAATGACCCCAACCTGGTTGTCAATATGGTCGGTATTACCGATATTGAAAACCCTAGCAATAATTAAAAAAAAAAAAAACAAACATTTATGAGCAAATCCAGGTCGAATAGCTAAATTTCAGACAGTATAACGGGGGTATACCCTCTCTTGAATTTCGATGAAACTTCGGTAATTTTGAGTAAAGCCTCATTTTCCAACATGGCGTATTCGATATTTTTCATTCCAGAAATTCAATAGACAAGCCAGTTCATGTCTCTCTAATAAGATAGTACATATCATTTAAATTCATATCAGCATTTCTTTAAATGTCACCTCTAAATTCTTTTGGATCTGGCTTTGGAATGACTTTGAAACTACACACTAAGAAATACCTAACTTTACACGTGACGGAATCCATCTTTGACTTAATGGATGAGACGTATACAAACATGTCATGTAAAATTAAGTGCTCCGAGACTGAAAAGTTCGAAAGTACGTTTCGTTGAGCTGAATTTTGCGTCTATTATGACTAATTTTTATGTCAAAATTGACGCTCGTATATGTCAGTCTCAGAGCACATAAATTTACATCAAGTGTGTATCCTCAAAATTTGATTTATTATTTCGTATGATATTATTCTTAGTATTCCCTACACACTACGAAAAAGTAATGTAAATTTCAGTGCCCTGAGACCGACACATGTAAGCGGCCCTTTTGACATAAGAATCAGTTGAAAAGGACGAGAAAATCAATTCAATCAAACGCACTTTTCGTCGAGTTGCATATCAGGCATAACATTTGATAACGGCACAAAAGCATTTGTAAACAAACTTTCTAAGGCCCTTTACACGCTAACCAAAGTACACCCACGCAAACCAACAACATCATCGGATAGGGGCAACTATCACCTTTCCGAAAGTGGTATTGGTTTGCGTGGGCGTACCTTGGTTCGCGTGTAAAGGGCTTTAGAAAATTTGTTTACAAATGCTTTTGTGCCGTTATCAAATGTTATGCCTGATATGTTTCAGTTTCAGGACACTTAATTTAACATGACATGTTTGTTTACGCTCCATAATTTACGTCAAAGCTGAATTACGTCTCGTGTAAAAATAGTAATTTCTAAGTGTGTATAAATTGTCCTCCAAATAAAAGAGAATTATTATTTATCTCAAAAAAAATCATAAAATTCTTCTCTAAATCCCTGTAGAATTCAACTCTGAACTACCTAATAATCTTTGTTGATGATCCCTCCACTAATACCATTAAAAACTACTCAGAATCACCTACACTCTTAGAAATTATTATTTTTACACGACACGTAATTCAGCTTTGACGTAAATCATGGAACGTAAACAAACATGGCATGTATAATTAAGGTTCAATTTACTTTGATGCTTTTTAGAAAATTTCAGAAGCAGTTTTTTTCCGACGCATTATATCAGATTGCAAAAAGCTCACACTATTCGATTCCTTTTGATATTTTACACAAATTGACGCGAGCTTTTTGCAATCTAAAATAATGCGTCGAAAAAAACTGCCTTTGAATTTTTAAAAAATGCATCAATGTAAATTGAACCTTAAGTGTCCTGAAACTGAAACATATGCAACTCGACGAAAAGTGCGTTTGATTGAATTGATTTTCTTGTCCTTTTCAACTTATTCTTATGTCAAAAGGGCCGCTTGCATGTGTCGGTCTCAAGGTGCTGAAATTCACATGTCTTTTTCGTAGTGTGTACGCATATGCCACTCACCGTAATTCCTTGCGGCTGATATCGTGTACCGGCCGGGTGCTGCCGTATACAGCTCAGGGGACGACGAGTAACCTTCGTCGCCGATCACAGATGATGATGACACATTCACAATGCTTGTGTCTGTGCCGCTAGACGTGGCAGCGATACTCGTAGGTATCACCACCGTTGACGATATCGCAGTCGTTGTCGTCGTCGTCGTCGTCGTCGCCGCCGTCGTTGTCGTCGATGACGTTGTCGATGGACGAATAGGCGGTCTCCACGTGCTCGAATTAATAATACTAATCTGGGTAGGATATTTAACAGTAGTGGTACTTGGTTTAGTCGGCTTGGCCTAAAACATAAATCGTGTGTTAGGTTTATCGCAATTTAAAAAGAGTTACGTTTTTGAGTACTCACCGATGGTTTTGGTTTTAATACAGTACTTTGAATGTTGTTAGAAATCGACAGAATCGGTTTCTTGGACGGCTTACTCGGTTTTGGTGGCCGCGTTTTTGTAATAAAACTAGGTTCTGTTGTAGCTTGCCAATGAGTTGTATATATGCCTGCCAAGAGCGAAAACGGAAACATTTTTCATCACTGAACCCACCGTGGTTGAGTGTAGCGAAGAAACCCACCTGTTGACATGCTACTGCCTGCCATCTCCAGGTCTGTCAGCTGCGCAGGCGTCGATAAGGTAGAGTGTTTATTTACAGTGCCCTCTGTTGGCTTTTGACTAAAAAGATGACTGTTGATGTTATTGCTATTACTAGAACTACTAGAGGAGGATGACGATGGTTTCTGGTGCTGGTGATGGTGGTGATTATGCGATGGACGAATCACCAGCGTACCGCCGTTTCCTGGACGGTAAATGGTCGTGTAACCATTGCTACTAACAAAAGTACTTTACATTCAACGAAAAGCAATTGTTTTGAGGGGTAACGCAGGGTACACACATGGAAGGAGCAAAAAAAACAAACGGGGTATTTATGTTATCAGTATTACTTGGTGGTTGAACCTCAAAGTGCAGGACTGTGCTGTGTAGCAGAAATTAGTTCTGGTTATTTACAAAATTCTGAAGGGATGTTAAATACCTAGGTTTCGGTGGCTTATACTTAGTACTGCCGGCCGGCTTCAAAAGGTAGTTTAAAGTCTGGTGGTAGTTTTGCGGTATCACATTTTCGGAGAGATTGTGCGAACAGCAGGACCCGAACATGAACGAGTCCATGCAGACGCCCACGTGTTGTCCCTCGGATTTGATACATTCCCATACGAACATACAGGTACCCTCTATTCCGTTAACTGTACAGGGCTTAGGATTAATCTTAAAGCTGTTGTGACTAGAACCGGTGTTTACATGCGCTATCCAACATATGACGACCAGTAGAATCGATGTTGTCCATCGACTCCACATCGTGGTGGAGCTTTTCAAAGTATCTGCAAGAAGAAAAAGAAAACACGCTGTTAGGAAGATTCATCATTAACTTATATACGTAAATATCGCCACATACGGAGCATCTAGTAGACCCCATTTGATCAACAAATCCCCAATGCAAGGGCGCTGGGCTGGTTTTGTACCTATATATCGAATCCATAAATGGTCAAGTGGTTGTGAAACTAAACGTCTCTTTCCAAAACCACGCTGAATCATATCCAACACTGTCTGTTGCGCCCACTCAAACACATTTTGTTTACAAACAACACTCTACGACTCGAAGTCGGTTATGCACGCCTCGTAAATTGAGCGCTAGTTGTTTGGCATTCTTCCAGGCGATTGGTGGGTACTCAAATCGCACTCAGATTTCATCTTGAATTTCATTCATCGGTTAAATTTGAGATCGTTTCTACTGTGTACAGTGGATTGTGAAACTCCACTGACTCCGTATCTGAGCATGGTGAGCAGAGAGGTTTGATTGTGACGGGAGTCTTGTTTTTGGAATGGCTGGTTCAAGTTAAATACGACGATTGATTATAATTAGAATTTCCTATTACTTCGAACCGAACGCGGATCACATGCTGGTATTTGTAGCTTGCTTCTTGGCCTAATTTAGATTTGTGTACGCACAAAAGAATCGTGTTGATGAGAAAAGTCTACAACGGAAGACAGGAAGTGGACTAATTTTTTTTTAGGAAACTAACTTATGTTGTTTCTAATAGATAGAGATTTGTCAGAGGTGTGATGATCACACATTTAAAATCGATTTCACCAGTAAGTATATGGCAGTATAAATTTTTATAGTATAAATTAGACTATCTATACATTTTTGTAATGTTATGATCAGCACAAACGAAATGTCATACATTATACAGCTTCACATTGTAAGTAATTTGTCAAGACAGGTTGTATATACCTATTGTATGAAAACATCAATCATGCTTCCTACACACATAGAAATGATTAAAGATTTCGGTACCGAATTTTCAACAGCTGAACAAGGCATGAATTAAAATTAGATTTAATGCTTCAACACAAGGCAAACTTCAGTACGATGGTAAGACTCGATTATTTAAACAAGGCTGACAATGTTTTAAAATTATAATTTAGTGAAACAGCTTTTGTTCAATGTTTTGCCGAACGTTCAGCTGTTGAAAGTTTGGTAAAAATTACCGAAGTCGGTAATAATTTCTAAGTGTGCAAGCAGTCATCATTAAGTCAAAACCCAAAATTCTGACAAAAGAGAATATAAATAGAAATTAGCGATAAATCAATAATATGTATCCAACAATAAAAGTGCTTAAAAGATTTGCCAATGAGAGTAGAATTTCGGGAAGTTTGCTCCCAAAATATGGAGTGAAAGTTCGACCATAATTGAAAGAATTAAAATTTCTCCAAACTCCAAACATGACTCAAGGTTTGAAAGTTTTTCTTAGAGAGCTTTTTAAGAATTTTCAATTCATTCGTAGCCAGATTTTTTTGTTTTCGTAAGAGTTTTCTAAAAGAAACTTTTGCCCAACCGGTGGTGCAAAAGATCATAAAAGCAGTTTTTGAACAGATTCGCCGCCACTAATCTTGAAATGCCCCATAATGGTTTAAATTACATTAAAAATACACATGTTTGTGCTCAGATATTGTCAGAACATGACGAGCAACGATATCCACTCGAAATAATTATTTTCCACAATACATACACTAGGGTTGCAATTTATGATTGCTTTGAATAAATAAATGTTTTTAGACATTTTAAAACATATAAAAAGTCTGATATTATTAAAAATATCTTCAAGAGGAACGCAAAATTTGTCTCATGGTTTCCTGTGGAAAACCTAAAAAATCTGCCGGAAAATGAGGAAATTGACGAAAATTTTATTCAGTCTCGGAGTAGTACCAATAGACTGAGTGAATCCAATCTTTACTTTTCTCAAATTCGGGAATTTTTCCCTGGAACATGAGACAAATTTTACTCATCGCTGAGTTCCTGCACTTTTGGCGATTATGAGTGAACTAAACTCAAATTTGGGTCGTTCTCATTCGCCGTGTGGGTAGATCACCTTTTCGTGATACGTTACGGGATCTAAGATCAACCACCGATTCCTAGTCCTGGCTACTTCAAACTAAGGGTACATGATTTTTCAGCAATAAAATAAACACATCTTAGTCCTTGTTACTTTTTATGCCTTGTTAATAGTGATAAGCCCTAGGGTTGCCTGAACCAAGGATGATCTTGAAACAAGGAAAAACTGAGTCTTCATCTATGTGATTCCTAATCTTCTATTCGTTGTTCCATAGCTGGAAGTGGTTAAGACTAGGGTTCTGATGCATGCTCATTATCGGTGTTATTGCTTGATTTTGTTGCGAAGGAATCCGTTTTTGACTGACAAAGTAGCGCGCATTTGGAGGGTGTTCGAACACTCCAAAGGGTATAAAGAGCGGGACATTACACTTAGAGTCGGATCCTTGCGATAAAGGCAAGAATGATAACTGTAAATAAACCGAATATATCAACATTTCTCAATAGTGATGTAGTAACACAACATGCACTAAAATAAGGACACGGGCTATATTACAATAGATCACCCTTTTTGCAATATAATGCTGATATACGGCTGATATGAATTTTTAAAACCCTATAACAAGGTTATTATGCAAAAAGTGCGATTAGAAAGCTATTATCGGGCTTGGTGGTTACTTGGGTACTGGTATGTGGTACTGGTCGTAGTAGTGTTATGTCCCGTACAGAGGGAAAAAAGAATCAAAGTAAAGATCTTATTTCCATTACACCTAACCTCAATTTTTCAAAACTGTTTTTTTTTTTACTAAAAGTTTATTTTTTCCTCAAAATTTATCCAGCTTTCCATATGTTCCATTGGATTTTTCTGCCACAAATTGTTTAATTTCTGTCAAAAACCTAGCACTGCTCTTTGATTCCAACTCCATCATAAATAGTGTCAGCTACAATTTTGCCAAAAAACATGAAAATAAGAAAGATAGTTTTAGAGTATCAATAAATGTGAGGACCACCCTAATTTTAAAAACAGACAAGAGAAGGATTATGTTAAGCAACAAAAGTTTACCCAATACACCCAATTACTAAAATTTATGACTAAAGCACTATGACTTTTGTCTTGCGAAATTCCCATCCTGGACCACTGTGCATTGGGTTTACTTCCGCATATTCATCCTATTCGTTCTTATAGACTTTGTATTGTAGCTTTTGTAGCACATTGAGCGTATGATTGATTCGTGTACGTCGCAATCATTGATCTATTTGATGATTTCTGCTTCGTATGACGAAAATAGGTTATAATGCCGATACCCTATCGCGATGTAAGGTTATCCGGCTATAATCTACTTTTGCGTTAAGCATTATAAAGCCAGAACCAATCTTGTAAGCGGTGACCGTAGTCGACGCATTTTCTGCGATAAAGTCATAAGACACTGTCACCAAAGAACGTCATGAATGTAGGTGTTTTAGTTTTTCTCATAATAAGACGTGCTGGTGCTGTGCTTGTGTGAATTCTGAAAATAGGAAGCAACGATGTCCTAGTAATAACATTTCTGATCAGAAATGGTTTAATTTACACCAAATTGAGGAATTAGAACGAAATCACACATGTCATATGCTAGTTATTGGATAATTTTCTTTTTGCTCGAATGTTATTCTACCGTTCGTTATGTGTAAGAGAGACGACGGTAGAGCATAAGAGCACGAATACAAACAGACTGTCGCGCACGAGAACGAAGCGAGTGTAGTAAAGACGTCAACCCCTGGTCAGGACTTAATTTTTTTTTTTTATCTAGTTCGTTTATTTGGGAGGCTCAATCGCGTTAGCTTTACGGAGCCGATAATTCATTGTTCACTGTGTGTAACAAAATTCACTTAATTCTATGTCTAGTAGGAGTTGGGCCGATTACTCGCGGCTTACTCGAGGTTAGAAGGGTACATTTTCGAAGGATAGGATCAGGGGAGGAGCTTGGGGTAGGGTTTCGTTGTCTCATCAGAGCGTTGTCGCCAGTATGAACGGTAGTGCTGTTCTAGCTTCGTCCGGAGTTCGACCGGCTATGGTGGGTGACCAGTGGGCGACGATGAGACTCATCGAGACGGGGGGACAAGACAAACAAAAACTAATAAAGAGAGACAAAAGACAAAAGGAATTAAATTCTTATACTAGACATTTGAAGAAAAACATAAACGGACTGCATATAGCAGAGATCACGGGTTGCCAACACGTCTCTGATAGGAACATAGGGTTGTCTTCCTTGGGCCTCGAGGGTATTCAAAAGTCGCTCTCTGGCGGCGTCATTATCCGTACATTGCCAAACTGCGTGTTCGATGTCATCGTAACCGTTTCCACACCGACAGATGTTGCTGTCCACGAGGTTTATTCTATTGAGATGAGCATCTAGCGAGTAGTGGTTGGACATAAGTCTACTCATCACGCGAATGAAGTCACGACTTAAGCCCAAGCCTTTAAACCACGCTCTCGAAGAAACATTAGGAATAATTGAATGTAACCACCGTCCAAGATTTCCAGTGTCCCAATCGGTTTGCCAACTCGAAAAGGTACTCTGACGCACTAAATGGTAAAATTCATCGTGTGAAATTTGCCTGCCATACAATTCGCCTTCCTGCGCGCCCACCTTTGCGAGAGAGTCCGCCTTCTCATTGCCTGGGATTGAGCAATGTGAGGGGACCCATACAAAGGTAATCATATATGATCTTTCGACCAGCACACACATCTGCTCCCTTACCTTTGAAAGGAAATAAGATGAGTGCCTACTTGGTTTCGTCGACCGAATAGCCTCAATCGAACTGAGACTATCCGAGAAGATGAAGTAATGGTCTGTGGGCATATTGGAAATCATCCCCAATGCGAAGTTGATTGCTGCCAGCTCAGCAACAAAAACGGAACAAGGTTCCTGAAGTTTGCGGAAGGCGCTAGAGTTTTCATTGAAGACACCGAAGCCAGTGGATCCATTGAGACGGGACCCGTCTGTA